CAGAACTGCATATGCAGATTCAATCTGTAATGACCATTTTGCAGCTGGTATTGCTTCTGTTATGTCTGACAATTTATTATATTTCTCTATTATATTTGCACTTGAATTGGGACATAATTTTGGCATGAGCCATGATGAAAGATATTGTCATTGTGATCGAGCTGCCTGCATCATGGCTGCAGACCATCATTTCACTGATCAGTTTAGCAATTGTAGTTATAGGGACTATTTCAATTTCAGGAACACCCCGTGTTTGTTAATACCACCAGGTGAAATGTTGTATAACCTCCCAAATTGTGGAAACAAAGTTGTAGAAGATGGAGAGCAATGTGATTGTGGTTCAGAAGCTGAATGTGAATCAGATCCCTGTTGTCAGTCTAATTGTGAGTTACGTTCAGGGGCCGCTTGTGCATTTGGATTATGTTCCAAAAACTGCCAATATGTTCCAGCTCGTTCCATTTGCAGAAGAAAACTTAGTGTATGTGATCTTCCTGAATATTGTCATGGAACTTCAGAATGGTGTCCTGAAGACGTCTGTGTTCAAGATGGAGCCCCATGCAGAGATGGGGCATATTGTTATCGTGGGAATTGTACTTCGCATGACAGGCAGTGCAAAATTATATTTGGTTCCCAAGCAGCAGTAGCTTCAGAGGATTGTTTCAGAATAATGAATGCCTGAGGTGATCGTTTTTGGCAACTGTAGCCTTGAACATGGGATTTATAGCAAATGCACAACTTCGAACATCCTGTGTGGCCGGATCCAGTGTGAGAATGTGGATGATCTGCCCACATTGGAACAGCACAGCACCATCATTCAGACACAGACTGGGGACATTCAGTGCTGGGGCCTAGACTACCACAGTGGAGTGGAAATACCTGATCACGGAGCAGTAAGGGATGGCACTCCTTGTGGCACAGACATGATGTGCATTGGTGGAGAGTGTTTGCATGTGTCCCTCTTGAACTATGAGTGTAATGTCACTAAAGTGTCATAACCAGGGAGTATGCAATACCTACAAACATTGCCATTGTAATTATGGCTGGGCCTCTCCTGACTGTCTCAAAGAAGCCCATGGTGGCAGAGGTGACATGTCTTAAGCAACTATTGTTCTTGCTGTGGCTGTATACTGTAACGTTCTGCTGATCCATGTTTTTAGAAGACTGAGCTCACTTATCTCCCCAGTCGAGTTAATAGAAGAAGTAAACTGAAAATGAACAATTCACACAGAAGAAGAAGAAAAGTATGTTGGAAATAGTATTTAATATTTTTAATTTTTATGCATTATTCCATTTCTGTATTGTTTTTACTTTTTGATAAAATTACAAAGAATGTTATTGCATATGAGGCTGATATTGTGTTGAAAGCCATTAAAGCTCTGTCCCACCATGTGGAAAGGAATTGTTCCTTTGGATTCTGGGGGACTAGTTTGAGCCTTCCTCATTCAACCTGAATTCCTATATTTCATTACTATTCAGATTTTGTAAGTTAAACTGACTTGATTCTGATCCTGTTAAATTGCTCTGTTTTCATTATATTTCCTATGCTATTATACGTTTCCATCCACCTTATTGAACCAATTATCCTTTAATCAGCTCGTATATCAGCCTTCTTCCCCCCCTTCAAAATTAGTCTGTTGTTGCTTGATGCTTGTTTATTATTGTTATGCTTTTTTTTTTTGCTTTTAAACTGTGACTTGTTGTTGCTCTGCTTTTAATTATATGCTGCCTGGGCTTGGCCCCATGTAAGCCGCCCCAAGTCCCTTCAGGGAGATGGAGGTGGGGTAGAAAAATAAAGTTGTAGTCGTAGTTGTTGTTGTTGTTCTCCTCCTCCTCCTCCTCCTCCTCCTCCTCCTCCTATGAAGATCTATCAGTGTTGCCTTTAGGTAAAAATCAGCTGTTAAGTCCATTTTGTCATATGGCCCTAGTTGTATATATCTCTAGGTCCTGGCAACCACTCTGGTTATTGTTGGCAAGGGCTGTTGCCAATTGTCACATTTTCTGACCTTAAGGGTAAGATTTGCTACTTTAGGGGTCTTGATATAGATGCCCATAGTGGAAGGAGGGCTGAAGCAGGTGAAGTGCTACAGACAAATCTTTGTTTGACAGTGACTATAAAATCAAATGGCCACTGGGGGGTTGAAAGTGTGAGAGCAATGGCCTTGGCTCCATCTTTCCTTAGACCTGTCCATGGCTGTTCTGGCTGTGCAGTCTATTTATACATTTGGTACCTTTTAAGCAGCTCAAATAAGGGACCAGCTTTTAGGGCAAAGTCAGGAATCCATAAGTGAAGATAGTCTATTAACTCCACCCCCCCCCCCCAGGACTTTTTCACTGGTTAGGCTATGGTGTGTGTGTGAGAGAGAGACACTTGATGTAATGATGTCTTTCTTGGAGCTGGAAACTGAGATATGTCACCTAAGGGCTAACCCATTGTCTCTTTCCCTCTGCTACTAGCCTCTTTTAAAATGATAGCCTTACAAGCTGTTGGTAAATTTTTGTAGCCTTTAGGGCAGTGGTTCCAAACCAGTGGTCCATTGACCACCAGTGATCCACAAGAACTAAAATGTGGTCTTCAAAACATTTAAAATTTTAAACCTTTATTCATTTTATTGAATTTGTTGCTACGCGGGCAGCACCAGTGAGTAGAATGTCAGGCAACACAGGAGGCCTGAGGGAGGTCAAGCGATTGATGTCATATACTCACGTCACCCAGTGTCAGTCAGTCACATGCATTCTCTTGCCTTGCTTAGATGTCTCAGTGATTCTGTTTTGCTGTTTCGTGATTCCAAGGTTCCAGTAGTTTTACTGACAGCGAGTCCTCAATATTCATATTAATTTTGACTTATTTAATGATGATTGAAATGAATTCCTATTGTTATGAAAAGACAATGTAGTTTCTATTTGTTACACTTATACTCAATTGTGTTTTTGTTTTATTTTTAGAAAATGTCTCCTAAGAGAAAATAGATCAATAATTACGTTAAATTTGGATTTACTTCCATTGAAAGTAATGGGGAAATAAAACCACAGTGTGTTATATGCACAAGCATTCTTGAAATGATGCCTTGAAGCCAGCAAAATTAAAACAACACCTAGAAATGGTCCTATTTCACCATTCTTTCTCCGTGACAACTTCTTTTAAGCTCACTGGAATTTTGCCTTCCCAATGGGAGGCATTAACTACTACCTTAACCCACTCTGCCAAACCCCTTCTGGCTTCCTTTTTCAGCCAGGATGGGCAGGGGTCCAGGATGCATGTGGTTGCCCTCACCTCTTCAAGAATCTTGTCAACATCTTGGTTGCACAAATTGGAATGAATCCTTGAAAATCGGACAAGCATGTGCTCTTGTCGCATCTTCAGAGACTTCAGTAACTGTGGCATCCAGGTCAGAGTGATTTTATCCACGAAGAACTGTGCAAACACCTCACAGCAAGCTGTCGAAGTGCCAGGGACCCCGTCACAAGTGGTGGGGTTCAACAAACCTCTGACCGTTTGAAACAGCTCAGCTGGACATTTACTCACGGACACAATGTTGATCTCAAGGTGAGATTTACTTTCAGCTTTCACTGCCACGGACTATGCTTCTTCAAAGGCAGCCCCATGTAGAGAGCATTGCAGTAGTCCAAATGAGATGTGATTAAGGTGTGGACTACCATGGCCATGTCAGGCATCTCAAGGTATGGGCGCAGCTGGCGCAGAAGTTTCAACTGTGCAAAGGCAAACTTGACCACTGCCAACACTTGAGGTTCCAGGATCAACCCCAGACTATGAACCTGTGCCTTCAGAGGGAGTGTGACCCCGTCTAGCACAGGCTGTAACTCTGTTCTGCCTTTCGACTTACCAGGAGTACCTCTGTCTTGACAGGATTTAGTTTCAGCTTGTCAGGATTTAGTCTCATCCAGTCCATTACTGATGATAAGCATCGGTTCAGGACCAGAATGGCATCCTTGGTTTTTGGAGGAAAGAAGTAAGTTTTTGGTGGAAAGGAGAGACCAAGCTTCGGGGTGTTGAAAGAGATTATGTTTTTCTAGTGAGCTTTTGTTTCCTCTCTACAACTCTTCTATTGGGAGTAACTATTTTCTTTGTCTTTCTTTAACCAAATGAAAAACAGCCACTGTATGCAGGTTTTTTCCATCCTTTATGTCTATTTACTTGTGGTTGAGTATGATTGTCTTCTGACTGTAAAGTTGTGGTGGTGGGTCCATAAGTGACTGTAGAGATGTATTCTGTACTTGCATGGTCTTTTGCAATAGCTCACATTGATTTCCAGATGGAAGGTGGTCCTGACAAGGGTTTGCTTGACACACTTTTCCTCTTGCCACATTTTCCCGTTTTGCCCTCTATTTGTTCCTCTTCAAAATCCACAGCATTTTTGGTAGCAGCTGACCTATAGTAAGTATGCTCAAGTGATAGGGCTTCCAGTTCTGTGTGTTTATTTCTCATTTTTAGGTTAGCATTAAGCCCATCTTTAAATCTTTTTCTCTGTTCACTGACAATCCATTTACTGTTTCAGAACAATGCTATTCAAAGTGGCCGTTCATGGACAAATACCATCCCAAAAGCCTTTGGTTGGCTGGCTGTGGGAATTTTTCAAAAAAGAAAGAAAGAGTAGTAGCTATTACAGGACCATATATGCCACATTAGGAGAAAAACATCATTGTGCCATATCAGAATGTCTGAAAAACAGTTTTATGGCCATATTGTTAGAATTAGATCTAAAATCGAGAAATTGAGCTCTGAAGTAACAAAACCCTATATAAATTACCGTGTCATTCTGTAGACTTTCTGCCTAGCCACTTTTGAGTACCCTTTGCATTCCCATGCTATCTCGCCCATACTGTTTAGTTCTTGATTCTCTAAGCTCCACCCCTGTTCTAAAGGAATTTTCATTGATGTTGCTATGAATAGAATCTTTCTCTCCTTCTTCTAATACATATACAGCCTCATTCCCATCTAGCTTCTACCTTGACAACAGCTCCAAGGGCCTTCTCATCCAAGAATGGAATGTCAAAGGATATACCTGAGGAGACTTCTTCCTCTATTTGTGCTAACTCTCATTAGTTTCCAGAATGAGATTGCTGATCAGGCACCACCAAAGGGATTTAGATTCGCCTCTTATGAGGTGACCATCCCAAGACAACTGACTCCTAGATATGGTCAGGAAGAATCCAAAGGCATCAGCTATCTGTTGAATATTGAGGGGAAGGGCCACATGTTCCATCTGAGGCAGAAGAAAGCATTTGTCCCTAAACACTTTCCTGTCTTCACCTACAATAAGGTGGGGGAACTCCAAGTGGACTATCCTTTCATCAAGCATGACTGTTTCTATCATGGCTTTGTCCAGGGCCAGCTCTCTTCCCAGGTCACCCTCAGCATTTGCTCTGGAGGACTCAGAGGTGTGTTTCAGCTTGACAACATGACCTATGAAATTGAACCTGTCCAGGCATCTGCTAGCTTCCAGCATGTAGTGTATCGTCTGGAAGAGAAGGAAGGTGTTGTTAGGATGAGGTGTGGGGTAACAAAGGAAGAGGAAAGACGGCAAGAGATTCTGCTGCAGAGCAGAGAAAAAGTGGTGGTCAAAAGGAATTTGCAAAATGGGTGGTGGACCCATGTTAGATATGCAAAGCTGGCAATTGTAGTGGACCATGAACGATTTGTGGGGTTTGACAGAAATGAAACTGTTGTTACTTTGTATGTTCTGGATATTTTTCATACTGCCATTTCTTTCTATGACCCACTTTCTGTTGAGCTGTCTTTAGTTGGACTAGAAATCTGGTCAGAAAGGAATCTCATACCTATTAGTTTCTTTCCGGGGGCTGTACTTTGGGCTTTTTCTGAATGGAGAAGACTTTCACTTATTCCCCGTCTATGGAATGATGCTGCTCACTTATTTTTATATAAAGAGTTTTCTCCAGTACATGGAACTGCATATGTAGAAACTATCTGTAGTGCAGATTATGCAGCTGGTGTTGATTATTTCATGTCTAACAATTTATTTCATTTCTCTATTACATTTGCACATGAATTGGGACATAATTTTGGCATGAGCCATGATGAAATATATTGTCATTGTGATAGAGCGGCTTGCATCATGGCTGCATATCATCATGTCACTGATCAGTTTAGCAATTGTAGTTATAGGGACTATTTCAAATTCAGGAACAGTCCATGTTTGTTAATACCACCAGGTGAAATGTTACATGACCTCCCATATTGTGGAAACAAAGTTGTGGAAGAAGGAGAGCAATGTGATTGTGGTTCAGAAGCTGAATGTGAATCAGATCCCTGTTGTCAGTCTAATTGTGAGTTACGTTCAGGGGCTGCTTGTGCATTTGGATCATGTTGCAAAAACTGCCAATATACTCCAGCTCGTTCTGTTTGCAGAAGAAATATTAGTGTATGTGATCTTTCTGAATACTGTCATGGAACTTCACAATGGTGTCCTGAAGACGTCTATGTTCAAGATGGAGCCCCATGCAGAGATGGGGCATATTGTTATCACGGGAATTGTACTACGCATGACAGGCAGTGCAAAATTATCTTTGGCTCCAAAGCAAGAGTGGCTTCAGAGGATTGTTTCAGAATAATGAATGCTCAAGGTGATCGTTTTGGCAACTGTGGCCTTGAACATGGAGTTTATAACAAATGTACAACTTTGAACGTCCTGTGTGGCCGGATCCAGTGTGAGAATTTGTATAATCTCCCCACATTGGAAGAGCACAGCACCATCATTCAGACACAGACTGGGCACATTCAATGCTGGGGCCTAGACTACCACAGTGGAGTGGAAATACCTGATCACGGAGCAGTAAGGGATGGCACTCCTTGTGGCACAGACATGATGTGCATTGGTGGAGAGTGTTTGCATGTGTCCCTCTTGAACTATGACTGTAATCTCACTAAGTGTCATAACCGTGGAGTATGCAATACCTACAAACATTGCCATTGTAATTATGGCTGGGCCCCTCCTGACTGTCTCAAAGAAGGTTATGGTGGCAGTAGTGACAGCGGACCTGCTTCACAAGATAGGAGTGCTATAGTTGCAGGGGCTGTTGTTGGAACTTTATTTGCTTTGTCTTCAGCAACTATTGCTCTTGCCGTGGCTGTATACTATATGGTTGTGCTGAGCCGTAGTTTTAGAAGACTGAGCACAGTTATTTCCCCAGTCAAGTTGATGGAAGAAGCAAAGTGAACAATTCACACAAGATTTTTTTGTAGGTAACAGTGTTTAATACTTTTATTTTTATGCATTATTTATTCTCTGTATTGTTTTTGCTTTTTGATAACCTTACAAAGAATGATATTGCGTATAAGGCTGATATGGTGTTGTAAGCCATTAAAGCTCTGTCCCACCATGAGGACATGGGGGCACAGATTGAGTTTTTCATTTCATAGGCAGCATATTTGGCAATGCAGTAGAGTCTCACTTATCCAACATAAATGGACTGACAGAACTTTGGATATGTGAAAATGTTGGACAATAAGGAGGGATAAAGGAAAATCCCATTAAACATCAAATTGCATTATAATTTTACAAATTAAACACCAAAACGTCATGTTTTACATCAAATTGACAGAAAAGCAGTTCAGTACACAGTAATGTTATGTAGAAATTACTGCATTTATGAATTTAGCACCAAAACTTTGCAATGTATTGAACAACTGTGGTTCCGTTCAGGAGGCGAAGTGTTGGATAATACAGGATGTTGGATGAGTGAAGTCTAGATAAGCGAGACTCACAGTGTATATTAAACAACAAAACATGTCTAACAAACCACTTGATGTTTAGCAAACAGGCTTAAGCAGCAATTTATGGAGGCTAAATTGATTTTAAATATTTATAAGTATTGTAAAAGCAAAAAATAAGGAGGAAACTTTTGTTTTAACCATCTTTTAGTTAAAATAAAACAGTTATCTTGATTGTAGGTGTTTTACAAGCCAAAAAGTCAAAATGAGCAAAGTCTGTGAACAAAGTCTATGAAGAAGTCTCTTTGAGCACTATAAATCTCTTTATCTATAGTCTCTAAGCTGTAATGAACACAAGTCTTTATGGACTTCATCCCACAGAATAGGTCAAGTGTTTGGGAGAGTAGGTTTTCCCTAAAGCTTTGTCATATTCTTGTTTTGAAATTGAATGAAGATCTCTACCTTCACCACACCTAATCCTTCTTTCTGCCTTCTCAGGCATGTAGCCGGGGGGGGGGGGGGGGGTTGAGGGGCTTCACCCCCCCCCCCCCCCCGAAATTCATGGGGGTATTGGGATAATGATACAAAAGGTTTGCTAGGCTAGACCCTCTTTCACTCAGACTCAGCCACCCCGAAACTCAGCCCCTCCCAGACCCCCCTGAAAAAAATTCAGCCCCCCCCCCAAATGAAATCCTGGCTACGGGCCTGCGCCTTCTTTAAGATTTATCTGTTTGTTTTGCCACCACATGGTAGAGACTTATTCTCCCCAATACCCCTCTCAATTTCCTTTTTCCTTTTCTTTTAAAACACCCTATCTTGGGAGTTCAACTTACAGCCCAAAAAGAGGGGTTATTCTTACGTTCTTACAGGAGGGGGGGGTGGATGAAGCTTTCTCTCTCTTAAATCTCTCTCTGCTGTCCTTTTGATAGGCAAAAGCAGCACAGCAGGAGCTTCATCAAGCAAGAGTTCACTTTTATGACCCGACACAGGAAGAGGGAGGATGTTGGAAGATGGAGCTTGCTAAGGTTGTAGAGACAGAAGTGCAGGATTTGCATGTTTGCTATTTTCTCCTGAATTCTTTGAATATCTTGTATGCTATATCTCCTCAGTCCCAAAACGATAATGGAAAGGAATAGATTGTGCCTTCTTTTGCAGACAGCCTTTGTTTGTAGAAAATGCTGACAATTTGGGAAAACGTTGCTGCAGAGAGGAACTTACTTTTCAAGGATAAAAAGTTCATCAGGACAAAACTGGCTAGCTGGTGGCTAGCTAGTACTCCCTAACCTTTCCAGTCACTTGGAGTTCTGCTTGCAACAAAAGAACAGATAAGACTGATTCATTAACACAGCCAGGGTTGGAGACATCAATGCATAGTCGTGCCATTTTAAAGATCCCACATGTGCCTTCCTGCCTGTCAAATTCATACAGAGCCAATGAAATTTGTATTAGCCAGCTTAGACCAATGAAATGATTGATCTTTGAACAGTAATGAGAATGTGTTTTCAGTTTTCAGTGAAAATGATAAAAAGGCCTTGCAAGCTCATTTCAAGTTGTGACAAAGCCTTTCCATGCACTCCTGTATGCATTTTTTCATTATTGTTAGGCCCGCAATAAAAGCCTTTGTAGTAAGAATCCATCTTGTGGCCTTCTCCTTGCACTGCTGCCTGGGCCTTTGAAGGGACTCCTAAGCTTGTGCATTTAGAGTGCTGGTGAGCCCGTGCCCCTACATCTGTGCCCCTTCACAAGTACAGCCCACCATTTGCAAGAAGTCTTGAAACTCTGTAATTGCATAAAAAGAGGAAGAAAATAAATTGTGTGTGTGCTATGAAGTACAGACACAAGTAGGAAGGCAGGGACAAACAAAGCAGTACAGAAGACTGACTGTGAGAACGGCATCATATAAATGGCACCATAGGGCAATTGAGAGAAAGTGTGAAAGTGATTGTTTACTTACAGGTATGTTTCTGTTTACTTAATGTTGTTCTACAAGGTAGTAGACTGGTGTGACAAAGCCTTCCCAGGTAGTCAGAGGCAGCTCAAGCTGGTGCGCTAATTACGCTTTTGCGTAGAGCACCGCGTCTTGGGGTGGGGGCACTCTTGAGGAGCTCTTGAGGTGCCCCTGCCCCAAACAACACCCAGAGGCAGCTCACTCTCCCTCCTTCCTTCCCTCACAAGTACGCATGTGCACGCGCGTTGTCTTCCTCTCCTCCTCCTGGCAGGCCAAGGGAGACAACAACGCCGGCATGCGTCCCTCTCCTGGCGTTAGGAAGTGCACGGGAAGGAGGGGCATTGCAGGGCGTGCACTTCCTAACACCGGGAGAGGGACATGCAGCGGCGTTGCCGGGCACGCGGGAAAAGAAGCATGCACGAGGCCTCTTTTCCCGCATGCCCGGCAACGCCACTGCGCATCCCTCTTCTGGCGTTAGGAAGTGCACGCCCTGCATCGGCCCTCCTTCTCCGCGCATTTCCTAATGCTGGGAGAAGGACGCACGCTGCCATTGTTGTCTCCCTTGGCCTGCGAGGAGGAGGAGAGGAAGACAACATGCGCACGTGCACACTTGTGAGGGAAGGATGGATGGAGAGCATGCTCCCTGCACGAGGGCTCTTTCCCCATGCGCCTAGCAACGCCGGGCGTGTCCCTCTCCCAGAGTTTCAAAGTGCACAGGGGAAGAGAGTGCAAAGCGCATACCCAGGGGCCGATGGAGCACAGGGCCTCTTCTCCTGTGTGAAGAGGGGCAGCATTGCAAGTGCCTCTCCAGGCAGCTGTGCCAGCACCCCTCTCAGAGTGGCAAGGAGGCCTCTTCACGAACAGAAGTGACTGAAGGTACTGCAAATCTAAATTATTGTACATGCTTCCCCCAAACCCCTCCAGTATTTTGTGTTGGAAGTCCTATATGGCAAGTTTGGTTCAATTCTATTATTGGTGGAGCTGAGAATGCTCTTTGGTGCCTGGTGAACTATAAATCCACACAACAACAATTCCCAAATGTCAGGGTCTATTTTTCCCCAAACCCCTCCAGTATTTTCTGGTGGTTATGGAAGTCCTATATGCGAAGTTTGGTTCAATTCTGTTATTGGTGGAGCAGAGAATGCTCTTTGGTGCCTGGTGAACTATACACAACCGCAACTCCCAAATGTCAGGGTCTATTCCCCCCCCCCCCCAAACCCCTCCAGTATTTTCTGGTGGTTATGAAAGTCCTATATGTGAAGTTTGGTTCAATTCTGTTATTGGTGGAGCAGGTAATGCTCTTTATTTATTTATTTATTTATTTATTTATTTATTTATTTACCTTACTTATATACCACTGTTCTCAGCTCGAAGGCGACTCACAGCGGTTCACAACAAATACGAACAGCAAAAATTCAGTGCTACAGTATAAAAACAGTTAACAACCTAACAAATTACACAATTAATAAACAGTTACTACAACACCCATTCACTGTCGTCTCATCATCAAAAACATGTTCCAGATTCGTCATCCATTGTTCCATTCCAGTGTTCATTAACCAATCATTGCACTAATTGGTGCCTGGTGAACTATAAATCCACACAATAGCAATTCCCAAGTGTCAGGGTCTATTTCCCCCATATCCCTCCAGTATTTTGTGTTGGAACTACATCAACACTGACAAAGAAACAACAAGAAATACTGTTTACCCACAAGCATCAAGAAATTACATATATTAGAAACCAACTTTCTCATTACTTTCTTTTCAAGATCACCAGACTGGAGCACAGCAACATGTGGCAGGGGATGGCTAGTGTGTGTGTGTGTGTGTGTGTGTATGGATGGCATGGGCCAACTTCGGCCCTCCATGTGTTTTGGACTTCAACTCCCACAACTCCAAACAGCCAGTAGAAAGTCCCACTGGCTGGGGGGGGGGGTGCACCAAAATATTGTTTGCTTACCATTGAAAATTACCTAGGGCCACCTCTGCAGGTAGTGATAGGAGCATTCATACTTGCAGATGAGCAATATCCATCTGTTCTTCAATAAATGAAACCATATAAAGAAGAAACCAAGGCTTGGGGTGTTGAAAGAGCTGATTTTATTCTATTGGGTGTAAATATATTTTCTTTGTCTTTTCTTCACCAAATGAAGGGCAACGACAGTATATGAGTTTCCCCCCCATTCTTTATGTCTCAAAGAGTGCTTGACACGCGTTACCAAAGTAAACTGGATGATTTAAAGCATCATTTTTATTTATTTACTCTATTTAGACCCCACCCTTCTTGCCCTTATGGTACATTAATAAAAAAGTTAGACATATAAACAATTAAAACATGTAAAACAGTAAAACAGATTAAAAACATCCAAAGTGCCAAGTCATAATTCCAAGATTATTCATTTTCCCGTAGTCATTATCTGCTCAGATTCCATGTTACCTGACTCCCCAAATGTTTGTGTACAGAGCCAGGTGTTTAGTTTTTTCCTGAACATCTGGAGGGATGGGGCCAGTCTAATGTCACTGGGGAGGGAATTCCATAGCTGAGGTGCCACCACT